AAGCAGGAAAATGGACTGTGTAACTGCTTTACCTTTTGCTGAACACCAAGTGGATTTAAATTTTCTGTTTTCCTTTTCCTAACTTTAAATTAAGAAATAAAAAGCTAGGGACATCTGAAAATACTTTGAGGGGAAAAACAAACCTACTTTGGCCATTATTTTATTTCCTGGAGCTAAAATCATTAGCTGTAATACTGGATTGGAGATTGTCCAAAATGAGCACAACAAAGCAATCTAAAAAGTCCCATCCTGAGGAAGCATGTCTCACCAAGCATCAGCTGCAAAACACATTTGAAAATAACATTTTAAACCAAAATTGACATTTCCTTTTTCTTCTCTGGCAATAGCCTTCTTCATTATAGTATTTGAATACCTACATGGGAGCCCAGTGACAGAGACTGCAGACCAGTTTCCTCCTGATTAAATAATGAATTCAACAGTCAGAAGAATGTGTTTTATGTAAAAATGAGTAGTCCTTTGGCATCATAGAGACTAACAATTATATTTGATCATGAGCTTTCATGGGTAAAGTTCACTTCATCACAGGAGTTGGAGTGGAATTGTTGTATCTACACATAGTACATTTTATTTAAATATTAAACATTAAAGTTACTATAATAATTAAACAACAAATGATCTGGAAGCACTTTATAGACTAACAAAACACGTAGATGATATCATGAGTTTTCATGGGCATAGCCCACTTCTTCAGATGACCAGTCATCTGAAGAGCTCTGGTCATCTGAAGAAATGGGCTGTGCCCACAAAAGCGCATGATACCAGCTACATGTTTTGTTAGTCTATAACATGCTACCAGACCATTTGTTGTTTTTTAAGTTTATCCTGTACAGACTAACTCAGCTACTTGCTGAAGCTTCTATAATAATTAACTAATGGGTAACCTTTTCTTTCACTATTTTTGTTTGTATATGTGTTAAAAATCCATTTAGTTTTTTATTGGTAGAAATGTTGATTATTGAATTCTGAATTAAGCCTTTCAAAACTTTCTAATGTAAAGTAGTCAGCAGCTTTTAGTACCCTCTATTGAATGTCTTGGTGGTTGAGGTTCAAATTCTGAAGAACAAGCTATGCCTTTGACAATCACGAGCACAACTGATACTAATTTATAATTTCATCAGAGAGGCCTGAGAATTAAATGGACTATTAAGTCCAAGAATTGGATTAGATTTCTCATCCCAGAAATTGTCCATCTGTGGTGGGGCAATGACAGAACAGTTGTGGAAAAACTTGTATTTCTACTGACAAAAAAAAAAATAAAATAAAATAAAAAAGTGGTCCTGTAGCACCTTAGAGAAAATCAAAGAAATATATAGATAGTATCATGAGCTCTCGTGGGCATAACCCACGTCTTCAGAGACTGACCATGCGATAGCTTTTCTTTGTATTAAAAAAATCTATAATCCTAAAGTACTGAATACAATGTAACAAACTAATTTTAAAATATTTTACTTTGTAAAAAGTAAAATAAAAAAGACCTGTTTCCATTTTGTAACCCTGAGTATACCATGCTCTGTTAAAATAATATGATTTGTGTAATGCTTGATTTAAGGCTTCATTTAGATTTGTGAAACTGATTTCAGTAGGATTGCATGGATGAAACTGAGAACAGAATTCACCCTAAAAGTCTCACTGTAGTTCTGTTTAATTGTTTATCTGTTGTTGCCTTTCCTCCCCCCCCGCCTTCCACTGCTCCCAAGGGAACCCGAGCAACTTTTTACATGTATTTCTGTAGGTATTGGAATTATTCCAAAATTGCACATACTGTTTCTTATTTCTTTTTCTGGGTCAAACCTGAGGCCTTAATCCTGTGAACATTAATCACTTCCCGTGGATCAACAGGGCCGTTCTTTTTTTAATCATATGATTAAAGTTACCTATGTGATGAAGTGTTTGCAGATTAGGGCCTAAGTGCATTTATTTTTGGAAATCACTGTATTTCAGCGTTTTTCCCATACCGGGCTGTGGGAAAAAAATGCCGGGCCTCAGCGTGGCTGCCGGGAGGGGAGCAGAGCGGGTCGGGAAACCGGCCACCGAGAAGCAGGGTTGGGGACAGTGGGGCTGTCCCGCGGAGATCTGGGCAGGCGGGCAGGTGGCGGAAGCAGGGTTGGAGGCAGCGGGGCTGTCCCATGGAGATCTGGGAGGGCAGGCAGCAGAACCAGGGCTGGCCAGAGGAGATCAGGAGGAGGAGGATGGGACAACCAGCTGCCGGTAGCATGGCTGGATGGGGGTTGTGGAGCTGGTCGGAGGGTTGTCGGGGGAGCGGGGCTGACCAGGGGAGATTGGTGCAGGGCAGGGGGAACCGGCCGCCAGAATCAGGGCTGGACGGGGGCAGCCAGCAGGGCTGGACTAGGGAGATCGGGAGGAGAAGGGGAGGGGAGAGCAGGACTGACCTAGGCACATGCAGACCCTGCAGACCCTGGCAGATGAGTAAGTCTGGCCGGGAATTCCATTTTGCCCCTCCCCCCCATACCCTCCCTCGAGTAGTTGCGAACTGCCTGGCAGGTAGACACACTCAGGCAGCGTGAGCACATCTACCAGCCAGGCAGTTCGCTAAGGACTGAGACACCTAATTATAATAAAACTTTACCTAATTAGAAAATACCAGACATTTTATATGTCTGGTACTTTCTCAATTTGTTTCCTGTACAAAACCCTCAAATACTGGATGTCTGGTACAAAACCGGACACCTGGCAACCCTACGCTTCCTTGCACCTTCCCTCCTGGCCAGATACCCTAACCCCAATCTGCTCCTGTTCCCGCCTTCTGGAGTGCCCATCCGGCGCCGGGTTCCCCAAGCCCTGGCCCAGGCTGGGTGAAGGATGCAGCCGGATGAAACACTGAAAATTTATTCATTTTTCATTCTTTTTTTTTATATGCGTTTATATTTTTGGGCTGCAAAAAACAGTACTGAAAAAAAAATGGGTTCCAACTAAAGTAAAAGGTTTGGAAAACCCTGATCTAGCCAGCTTTCTATCCATCTTACAGTCCATTTATGCAATCCATATTCCCTTAACTTGCTGGCAGGAATATTGTGGTTGACTGTTTCAAAAGCTTTGCTAATGCTGGCAATGGGGGCTTTGGGAGGACCAGAAACAACGTATTTCAATATTCATCATTTGCTTAATGAATACGCAAATATGCAAATGAATGTTACCGGTACTCCAAAAGCTCGTGAATGGATTTACTTGTCCTCGTATCAAAAAGTTTGGGAACCCCTGCTGTATTTGATCTTCTCTGCTTGGAGATAGTTAGTGATAGATTTGATTACGAGATATGATAATAATGTGATATGATTACAAGAATGGTCACGAGATCCTTAAAAAATACTTAATTTTTTCTGTTGTCCTGTTAGTATCTCAGGTAGAGGATACATTTAGTAGAAGATTATTATGTAATTAGGAAAATTGAATGGTTTTGGATTGTTCATTCCTATTGATATTCTAGCATACATGGTGATGCTTCTGTCTCAAGCATGTGATATAGTCTAATGGGGCTATGACATGAAAGTTTGTTAGTTTTATTTGGTATTAAGTTAATTCATTCTTGTTTATGACATGGCTAATGCAGTGAAAGTTGTTTCATAGTTTCAGTGTCAAGGTATTTAATGAACTGGTTAACAAAGAATTAGATTTTATTTGGCATACTATTGTGTTGTCATTGTCTCTTCAGCAAACTTAAAAATAGAATTTAGAATCACAGAATAAGGAGGAGGAGGAAGAATGGGTTGGATTCATGTTTTCAAATTCCTAATCTTCCGAAAATGAAAACTATTATTTGAGTATACACAGCATGGTTGGTGCTTCACAAAACAAAAGGATTATACTGCTATGACACTTTGTGCCCCAAAGTGACACACTGTCATCCCTATATTCACTACTCTCGTATATTTATGATAAAAGATGCATAAAATATGCCTTGTGTTGTATATTCTAACCATCTTGATCCACTAAACAGTAATATCTTATTGGATTTTATGCGCTGTCATTGTACAGTTATGAAGTTTTGCAAAGTATGTAGTCTGAAAGATGTTGTGATGTTGGAAACACAGCTTTCCTTTCAGGTACAACAACAGACAATGGACCACAGGAAAGGTTGGGCCTCTCCACACTTCCCAATGCTGTTGCCCCACACCAGCTCCCCCCACTCCCCCTGATAATCCTCGAGGATAAGCAACTAAACTAGTAGTCTATCTGATAAGCAAAAGCCACACAGTGCTTCAATCTCTGTAAATTTCAGAGGTGGAACACCACACTAGTCCTTATCAACTAATTGGGCGGTGAGTGGGGGGCACTTACTTGCTTTCACAGCTCCCAGCATTGTGTCTGAGGCTTAGCCTCCCTCTGTTCCCATTGGCCGGAATCTGGTCAAGAGGAGCAGCAGGAAAAGCTTCCAGGATTGCTCACTTGCTTCTGTTTTAAAAAATAATCTCAATTATTTTTGTTTAGCAATTGGCTTAAAGCCAGATTCTCTCTTTCTCTCCCTGTTATACTACACAAAATGCACTGATACCCCTAGACGAGAAACACTGGTACACCAAACTACACTTAATAATGCTGATGTTAGGAAAAGTATGTACTATTTCTTTTTTACCAGTGCACATAACTTCTAGGGTTGCCAGATGGTTTCAACAAAAATACCAGACACACTTGACATTACCTCACAATCTATATTACATCTTATGTAGAAAATACCAGACATTTATATTTTCTCATTTATATTTTCTCAATTTGTTTCCCAAACAGAAAGCTCAAATACTGGACTGTCCGGTTCAAACCGGACACCTGGCAACCCTAATAACTTCACACATATGTATGTATCTAACTCTTAGGATTTGCATATTTTCTAGTATTTTTATATATTGTAAACATTTGTGCAAAGAAAGGAAACAAGAATTTACTTGCGATAAAATAATGCAAAATTCCTGATTTCATGTTATTGGGAGGGGGGGGGGGTATTTCAGAGGACACAGGTTTTAAAGCTTACTGTTTTTTTATGAGTAGAGATTCTGGGCCATGTAGTAAAACTATATATCATTTTTTGTCTTTCTGTTTCAACAGTTAAAATTCAATTTTTTGTAGGGCAAGTTTATACAAAAAATGTTTCTTTAATTAATGGGAAACTCATGGAAGGAAAAATAACCCAGTGCTGTTGCATGCACTTGCACATTAATTGTGTTCTGTTTTCCAAGAGTACAACAGATTCTTATGGCTATTGTGTGGGTATCAAAACCCAAGACTAAATTTTGGTACCTCCTAGGCAAATAATGTTTGATATGTAAGAGGTAATGAGAATGATTTTTTCTTCAGGTAATTTTTTTTAATTCTCTCCTTCATTTCTCTCACCCTGTCCTTTTCCTCAGAATTCTCGTTCAGGGTGAATCTTTTCTGTGTATGGAGCTAGCATATGGCCTACGCACCATTTGAGTTACACACTCTTTGTATTGTCTCTGCATTGAGGTGAAATCACTCCCAGAGAATAAAAGAGTAAGTTTAGGTTACAGTGTTGCAAACCTGTTAAGTAATATTTTGGACACCAAAGTGTGTAATATTTTAGACACCAAGGTGCATACCTTTTTTTAAAAAAACTATGTACTTCCATGATTCACACAACCATTCCTGTTCTATGTCAGGACTTCCATGAATATTTTGCAGAGAATTTCTATGGAGACATTTGAGACTTCTCACAGACCGGGTATTGCAATAAAGACTTCATTGCTGTTACTTTAGGAGAAGGAGACATATCAGAACAGTATACATTGCATAATACTATTAATATTTCACTTACTATGCCTTTCCTCAGTGAATTGAAAAATGTTTTAAAAATACTAACCTCTCAATCAATTTTTTGATTGAAAGCAAAAAGAACTGATCAGCCTCTGAAGTAATTATTATAATAAGCGTTTTACAGAAAGAGAAGATGTAGTACAAATATAGTGATTTAATAAAGCTATTCAGTAAGTCACTGAAAGAGCTGGGAACAGAAACTGATCTTTTCTCACACAAGCTACAAGTAATTTCTGTTGTTATATGAATATGTACTCATATATGGTGTGTGAAGTTGTGTAGTTAAACCAAGAATTGCTTAATTTTTGTGTAGGAATTTTGCCCAAGTTCTTTAAGTGGGAGGAATAGAGATGAAATACTGTCTCTCATATTGAGGTTGGAAGACGTGTTATCAACAATGTTAGCTTCTCTTTTTGTCACATCTGTGTTGCTGTGGCTTCCCTGTCCATTTCATAAACTGCTTTGTGTCATGATATCATCTGTATTTTAGTTCTTTTTGTCCTATTTTTGTTCAAAATCTGTGAATTTAAGTGATTGGTATGTTTTTAATGTATACGATTTACTTATTGAATAGGATACTCACTTGCATCAAAATTTGTGTTTCTTGTTTTGATATGGTGAGAGAATAGAGAGAAGTTTTGGAACATAGATTTTTAGTAAAATATTATATACTATCCGTCCAATATTGTTGTAAAAGTGCCTTATACTAAATTGTAATTGGTTCAAAGTTTAGATTTTCCAAATTGGCAACTGCAGCATAGCTCATAATGTGTAAAGTACAGTGATGTGACCAGTTCTGGGTAGTCAATAATCCACTTGTGTTAATCTCCCTGATGGATCAAAAGGGTTCATAGTCCCATTCATTTTCAGAGGGCCTGTACAACAGTGTCAATATTACTTTTCCTCTTGTATTTGTGTGTCCAATTTAAATAAGTATGCAGCATAGTATTATTTAGTATTGTATATTTGTTTATTATTACAGAATGGTTGTAACACCATTTTCTCTGCCTAATGCTATTTTGGCTGAAAGGAAGAGAAAAAGTAGAGAAATGTAAATGTCTTATTTTTTTAGCTATCTTAATTTTTTTATAGCCTACGCAGTGCTTTAGCAAGTTAAAGCAGTAAGTAAAATGTTTGTGTATGTTCCTAAAAGTTGTTTTTGTACTACTGATAGCCTCTGTTCAACAGAGATTTCCAATATCAAGTTTGAGAGCTGGCATCATGCTTAGCTATGTATGGAACAATTGAGAATATAATTTCCTAGAGGCAAATGTAGGATAACATAATATTTTTATATTGAGGTTTTATAGGCTGCCCAGGTTTGAAGAGTCACTATCTAGATGTGAGGCCATTGGGGTCTGTAATCAAGTGATCATGTAATCAAGTGGGCTGCTAGAGAGGGATTTAGCTCTCAACTCTTGTATCCTATGAACATGATTGTGATCTGTAGTGCCCTTTGTCACAAGAACAGCCATACAGGGTCAGAGGAAGGTTCAGCTGGTTCAGTATCCTGTCTTTCAATAGTGGCCAATACCACAATTCCGAGTGCTTCAGAGACAATAAGCAGAACAGGTAATCATCATTTATCTCCTGTCCCCCATTTCCCAGCTTCTGGCAAAACTGAGGTTTGTGACACATCCCTGCCCATTCTGAGACCTCGCAGAAATTGCTCCAAGAGGAAGGGATCAGGTAACGGCTTTCTCAGCACTAGAAAGTGTTGGCATTATAGCTATATGAGAAAACCCTCCTAACGGGGAGACAGCTTATGCCAGCAAAAGATACATTTTATTGATGGAACTTATACCAGTTCCCCCAAACAAAATAAGATATACTGGCAAAATGACACTTTTGACAGTATCACTGAGACTATACCAAGGCTTTTGCAGAGATAACTGTTGGGTAGGGGTGTGATTTTTGTCACACATCTAACTTTCATAGGTATGCCAGCAAAACTTTTTAAGTGGGGACCAGTTCAAAGACATTATCACTCTGCAATTCATAAAGTTGACAAGCTGCTCATAAAATTGTAGGGTTGAAAGAGACCTTGGGAGATCATCTAGTTCAACCCCCTGCTAAAAGCAGGACCAATCCCAACAAAATCATCCCAGCCAGGGCTTTGTCAAGCCAAGACTTAAAAACCTATAGGGATGGAGAGTCCACCACCTCCCTAAGCAACCCATACTAGTGCTTCACCACCCCTCTTAGTGAAATAGTTTTTCCTAATATCCAACCTAGACCTCCCTCAATATAACTTGAGACCATTGCTCCTCATTCTGTCATCTGTCACCGGTGAGAACAGCCTCTGTCTTCATTTTCTTTGGAATCCACCTTCAGGTAGTTGAAGGCTGCTATTAAATCCCCTCTTACTCTTCTCCTCTGCAGACTAAATAAACCTAAATCCCTCAGTCTCTACTCTTAAGTCATGTGCTCCTGCTCCCTGGTCATTTTTGTTGCCCTCTGCTGGACTGTCTCCAATTCATCTATATCATTTCTGTAACGGAAGGCCCAGAATTGGATGCAATACTCAAGATGTGGCTTCACCAGTGCCGAATATAGGGGAATAATAACTTCCCTATATGCTTTCAGTGGTCCTACTAACACACCCCACTGTGCCATTAGTCTTCCTAGCTTGTTTGATTAACAGAGAGAAGTATAGTCGGCTTGTTATGAAAACAAAATTAAGTGCATTTGTTTCAACATTTGTCTCAATTTTGAGAAAGGGAATTTTGGTGTCCTTCAGAATGTGAGATATGTGAGCTTTTACCTTTCAGTAGTATGGATAGATATTAGTTCGGCAAATTAGTTAAGCTTTAACAGAAAACAGGTGACTGAGTAACTATCAACATAGATGACTGCACCAAAGGTGCCCTTTTAGATTTTAGATGTAGTTTGCCCCACTTCTCTTTGCTCTTCTTTTAACTTCAAACTAAACTCTGTGCTCTTAGGGTACGTCTAGACTACATGCCTCTGTCGCCAGAGGCATGTAGATTAGGCTACCAGACATAGTAAAATGAAGCGGCAATTTAAATAATCGCCGCTTCATTTAAATTTACATGGCTGCCGCGCTGAGCCGACAAACAGCTAATTAGCTGTTTGTCGGCTCAGCGCGGCAGCCATGTAAATTTAAATGAAGCGGCGATTATTTAAATTGCCGCTTCATTTTACTATGTCTGGTAGCCTAATCTACATGCCTCTGGCGACAGAGGCATGTAGTCTAGACGTACCCTAAGAGCACAGAGTTTAGTTTGAAGTTAAAAGAAGAGCAAAGAGAAGTGGGGCAAACTACATCTAAAATCTAAAAGGGCACCTTTGGTGCAGTCATCTATGTTGATAGTTACTCAGTCACCTGTTTTCTGTTAAAGCTTAACTAATTTGCCGAACTAATATCTATCCATACTACTGAAAGGTAAAAGCTCACATATCTCACATTCTGAAGGACACCAAAATTCCCTTTCTCAAAATTGAGGTTTTTGAAAATTATATATCTCATCATAATGTGCACTTGCTGTGTGAGAAAAGAATATTTTGATAGTTTTTTTTCTTGAATACCTGATACCAAAGCACAGTGAACGACTTGAATGTTTCATCCTTTTTGTGTATTTTAGTCATTTTACCTGACTTTTTACCTTTATCTCTCATTCTCTGAAAGGTCACTGTTCTAAAGGATTTTTAGCTTCTGTTATTTGTAGTGGCTGCTGTATGTTCATGTTTCTTTAATTATGTGTGCTGTATGTGTTGCAAAACAAAAATCAATAATGTTGTTTCCTTTCAAAAGGAAAAATCCTACAAGTGACCCTACAGGAATCAGCATAGCCATTACTAAGCTAATGGCTATGTAACAGCTCCTTTTATTGTAATTTTTAAAGGCAATAGGAAAGCCTCTCAGTTGTCTGAATAGAAAAAAGTGTTCAGATGTTTGAATATTCAAAACTTGCAACCGTATGCCTATAAAATATCCTTTTAAATGAATAATTGATGGGTCTATTACAGTTAACCCTAACTGCAAATATCCAAATGTAAGCTGAATATTTTTGAGGAATAACTGTGTAGTTTTAGTCAAAATCCATTAGCCCATTAGGGACCAAGCCAAAATGCGAAGGGGGACTTCAGAAATTCCAGGTCCTGATGCTACAAATATTTACATGGTTAACATCAAGTACTTGAGTAGTCCCATTGGACTACTTCCCATTCAGTAAGCTAATGCAATGGTAAAATTACCATTTGAAGTAGCTACAAAGAAGAAATAAAGGAGTGTTTCACAGTGAGGTCAGCTTTAAATTCTGGCCTCTGTTTTCTGAACTGACTAGTCTTTCAGAATGTGTGAAGCTTCTGGCACAAACCACTGTCTGGCGCTAGTTTAAAATCTTGAATTTGCTGCTTATACTTCAAGAGTGCTATCAAGTACTTTTGAGGCAATTTTAAAATAGTTCTTCATATTAAAATATATTTCGTTGGTGAGAACAATTGTAAAATATTTTATGGCTACATAGACCCTATACTCCTCTAATTCCACTGTAAATTAGCTGGAGCCAATCTGCTTTATCTGCCACTGTCAAAAAATGAGATTCTAAGATAATTTTGAGAGGGAGGGAATTTTAATATTGTAGGGAATAAATGGCTTTTCCGTTCATTTTTTATGAAGATTTGAATTTCTGTGAAAAATGAAGCCAGTTTCATTCGTACTATAAGAAGTGCCTCAT